GATAGATAGATAGATAGATAGATAGATAGATAGATAGATAGATAGATAGATAGATAGATAGATAGATAGATAGATAGATAGATAGATAGATAGATACTATATAAAACCTACAACACATTTTAGTTTTTCTAAGTTCAATACTACAAATTTCAGTTCAAGAGTGCCATAAGTGGTTGCTCGAAAAGTTAACTTTCTAGTATATCCTCTATAGATTGTAGATTATATATTTCTCTGAATCTTTAAAATTGTTTGGGAGTTTCATCAGGAGTACGACTCGTGTACGGCTGCATTTGACATGCGCTCCACATAACACATGCAGGATCTGCGCTAGAGCGTTGTTATACCTGCAAAATAATGCCTGCAACAACCAATCAAATGAAAGCAATTGAGACGAACTGCCATCTTCAATACCAAACTGTGCCAATCACCAGAAATCAAGCCAATTACCACCCTTCGTCGCAGTCACGTGTTACAGGGGTAGCAGAACGCCGATTGGCCGTCGTAGCACTGCCTCCCGAGTTCATTTATGTTCTGGGAGTGAGTGATTGACTTTATCAGTCCAAGGACATCATCCGCCTGGTAAGGGGGGGAAGTTTGATCCTCTTTCTCACGGATTGCAGTCAACGGGAGTTTTTTCTCCCAACTCTTTGCATAGGATTTTTCCCCATTTTGGCTTGGTTTGTTTTTGTTGTTTTTGGATTTTTCCGCGCAACGTGGTACGTCTCGACGCAGTGTGCAGCTTGCGCGCTCCGCTAAACTGGATTTTAATTTTATTTTCAGTTTTTTTCTTCCCAGCTCCTGAGTTTGCTTCAAGCTCATGACTATGCTTCTTGATAGCGGTCCGCAGTTTGCATCGTTAGGAGTGGGGGGCTTCGGGACGCCGCGGCACCACGAAATCGGGAACAGAGACCCTAGTCTGGGACTGAATCCCTTCAGTGATTCCTCCCACTCCGCTGCTTTTAAAATCAGCCCCGTGGCTCACGATATCGCTTCCAGCCAGACATCAGCTTTCACACCGCAAGCCAGTGGATATGCAGCTGCACTGGGACACTCTCACGGCGGGCAGGTGGGCTCGTACGGCGGGGGAGCTTTCAATTCAACACGAGACTTTCTCTTCCGGAACCGGAGCGTTGGAGAGTCCACAGCTCCGAGCACCCAGCATGGGATCTTTGCAGCTTCGGCGGGGAGCCTCCACGGGCCGCCCGGGATCACCGATAACCCAGGACATTTGTTGTTTCCAGGACTTCATGACCAGGGAGTGAGCCACACTTCATCCAGTGGACATGTTGTTAACAGCCAAATGCATCTTGGCTTGCGCGGGGACATTTTCGGCAGACCTGATCCGTATCGTCCTGTAGCGAGCCCTCGGACAGACCACTACGGGGCTCAGCTCCACAACTACAACCACCCCATCAACATGAATATGGGGATGAATGTGCCGACACACCACGGTCCCGGAGCCTTCTTTAGATACATGAGGCAACCGATCAAGCAAGAATTATCATGCAAATGGATAGACGAGAACCAGATGAACAGACCCAAAAAGACTTGCGACAGGACTTTCAGCACCATGCACGAGATGGTCACTCATGTGTCCATGGAGCACGTCGGCGGCCCCGAGCAGAGCAACCACGTCTGCTACTGGGAGGACTGCCCGAGAGAAGGGAAATCTTTTAAGGCCAAGTACAAACTCGTCAATCACATCCGTGTGCACACGGGCGAGAAACCGTTCCCATGCCCGTTCCCCGGATGCGGGAAAATATTCGCCAGATCGGAAAACCTGAAAATACACAAAAGAACACATACAGGTAGGCACCAACAGCATCTTAGCATCATGTAAAAAATATAGAAAGAGAGCCTATTTTTAAATAGACCCCGTGCTTCAGTGTTCCAGATATAAACGTGCATGTTGTTGTGTTATTGTTTACGAGGTCCTTTTCAGAAATTGGACCAACTTTTCTAATGGCGATAAGCTCCCAGTTTCCTTTTTTCGAAATTATTTGAAAAATATACAGATTGGGTAATGTTTCCACAGTAGAGTATAAACCACATTGCTCTGCAACTTTGCTGTAGTGTTCAGCCTCGTTAATTCTTGCAGCTTTTGTCCTGAGAAGTTTTGTGCCAGTCCAAAAGATACTTCATTTACTTTACGCCAAACTTTCGGTGCATTTGCTGTATTGGTGCTTAGGGCAGACACGGGGCTCGTGTGCTTTTTGAACACATCATTACAAGTAAGCAATTTCTGGCTGCGTTCATAATTGTCGCTCTAGTTCAGCCAGTGCACGGTACAGAATGCCCTGTTGATTCAGTATTTACTATACAAGAGCACACGCACTGAGGAGGCCAGTAGTAGCATGAAGGAGCAGGCCTCTTGAATAAATAAAGCCTGACAGAGCAGTGTGTAGTAGTGGAGCAGTATCCATGTCGCCCCGAAAATGTAGGTTACTCTGTTATATAATAGGCTGCAGACAATTTACATCTTGTGTCTTCGGATTTACAGTCGGTGTTACAATGGGGGTTTGTTTGTGCGGGCCATTGAGGGGTAATTCACGATGTTTATTTAATCCTCCAGGTGAGAAGCCGTTTAAGTGTGAATTTGATGGCTGTGACAGACGCTTCGCCAACAGCAGCGACAGGAAAAAGCACATGCATGTGCACACATCAGACAAGCCATACATCTGCAAAGTGTGCGACAAGTCATACACGCACCCTAGCTCTCTCAGGAAACACATGAAGGTAATTAACGTCTTCATTACTCCTTAAACACATTAACACACTCACACACACGCCACTCCACCTCCTTTACCACAGACAGAGACCATCACAACTTTAGGCTTTTTCTTAAAGATGTTATAGGCTAGCCCAGTCACACTGCAAAAAAAGGTACAAAAATGGTGTGCAATCACAATTAGTGTGTTAGCGGCTCTTGATTTTAAATAGCTAAAAGATTAAACGATTAATAGTTTTTAAAAAAAACTCCCCCTTTGTTGTTGTTCTCTGATGATGGATTTTGATTTGTATTTTTCTTTAAAATAGCCGTCTTCTATAAATATCCGCTAGCAATAAGCAATTTTTTTAAATATATTTTAACCATCTAGTACTTTGAGAAAACCTATTTTTATATAAACTTTAACAGTGTGTTGATGCGGATATTTCTATGCAGTCCAGAAGCTCGCCTGTTTACCATTACAGTTGCCCCATAAAACTCAGAGCTAATCCGCATTTAAGTTCAGCCTCCTTCCATAAAGACACTTAAAGGTCACCGTTTACAATGACTGCCTCAGTAACTCAGTGCTCGTGTCCCCATGTTTTGCAGGTTCATGAGTCTCAAGGATCTGAATCGTCTCCAGCAGCAAGCTCCGGATACGAGTCGTCCACACCGCCAGTCCTGGTCTCAGCCAGCACTGAGGACCCGACAAAAACGCCGCCGTCAGCCGTACAAAACACGTCTGGTCACAGCGAAGGACTGGCACCCAACTTTAATGAATGGTACGTTTGAAGTCAGAAGAACAAATTCCCTCTCAATGTGGACCAAGAGGATGAGCAGGAAAAAAAACATTAACAAAAACTATTCATTTTCACTCCACACACATACACACACACATACACGCACACATCATCATCAGATACACACGCAAACACACGCGAATGGGATTGGAACAAGAACAACAGCAGGAGATGAGAGCAAAAGCCAGCACCAAGCAGGCCACGTCCGTTCTCAGGATCACGAAATTTGACTTTTATTCCGCAGTTTTGAGGAAATCAAATAAATCACGAATAAATAAACGCTATACTTTCTCAATATAAATAAATGTTTTTTTATCTTTTAGTTAAAGTTTTCAGAAAAAAATGTTTTATTTTTCATTTTATGTATTTTCTCAAATTTTTATTTAAAAAAAAAGAATAAAAAAGGAAAATTATTTCACGCTGTTTTATATAACGGTGACGCTCTATTGTCGCCTCTTCAATTGATTGTTGAAACTTCAAACAGTCTTAAGAAACGTGCCAAAGTCTTTGTCATGAACTTGAACACAGAAAAAAAAAAATCATAACTAAATATTATCTCGTGAATGTATTTCCTTGTTTGATGGGGTCGAATCTGTTGTCAACGTCCGTTTTCAGGTGGAGAAATGTGGTATTAGGTTACGATTGTTACCGTTGAATATAACGTTGCCTTTTGTTAATACCGTTGTAAATACATATCCATGATGCCATATTTATCAATTTGTAATTTAATTATGGGTATAAGTTCTGAAACTTAAATGATATTTATGGAAATGTTTTCTAACAAGAACTGTACAGTTTTGGTCATAACCAGCTTAACATGGAACAAATGATAAACTAAAGCTCCAACATCGCGATTGTATCCTTCTGTTTTTTGTTGTTGTTTTATTTTTTCCTTTTTAACCAATAGGCCTACATGTGTCTTATTTGGATTAATTAAATCATTTATATGAATATTATGGATTTGTCTATATATAATGCAGATATTTCCGTCACTTTTATTTTGTTTATGAGACCATTGACATGTAAAATCATTGACTTTGTAGAGCTGAGTTCAGTTGAGCTGAGAAGCTATAAAACGGTTCTGTTGTTATCTTTATTTTTGGTTAAATTTAAACTTTTTGTGTATTTTACTTTTATAGAATCAGAACTAGATGTCAATCTTAGCATAAACTCAGTATTGGGGGAAGAAGAAGAAAAAGAGAGAAAAGAATGAACCCATCAGCCTATTGCACTCCTATACTACAGGTCTTAGAGTGTGCGAAGTCATGATTTCCAAATCAAGGTGACAGCATTTTGAGTATTTCAAATTGAGGTCAAGACCCGAACTATATGCGCCAGTATGGCAACCTTTCTAGTTCCAGCAGTGTCTTTGTGCAAGTATGTTTAAATGTGTGCATCGGCAACAATGGAACTGTCACAACACAGTATCTTCAAAAATAAAAAAGGTTTTTTTGTCTGTCAGCTTGCATTGTTTTAAATGTAATTCTGTGAAACTAAGCGTGTTATTTGTTGTGGTGTTGCATATAGAGCAGTTTGATTACACATTTGCTTGTTTTGTGTGAATAACTTGTCAAGATGACATTTTTGTGTTTAACAAAATTTAGTGGAAGGAATTCTAGATCTATGTGGGTTGGGGAGAACACGTTCAGTGGCAAAAAGAGTTACAGCATTGCATTGTAACCTATTCTCAAGAATTAAATATTATGCATACACAAAGTATATTGTACTCATATGAGAACAATTTCAGACCACCAGCACTACTTTTAAAATAAAATGTAAAAACGGTACCTCTTGACAGTGATATATGAAATAAGTTTATTTAAATAATTTAAGGAATATATGTTTTATATGCTATTTTCTATACCTTAATTTAAAAGAAGTACTTTTTCTTATTCCCACCACCTTTCTGCCCCATGTCCAGAGGTCAGAGAATAATATCTGATGTATAAACACAGCTAGAATGTGATGTTGTAACACTTTCTGGGAGAAATGGGTCACAATCCAAGTTATTCCTGAAGAGCAAAAATGTTTTACTGATGAACTGTGTCACTGTGCCACATCGAGGCAAACCATGTTACAACAGCAGGCCTATGCGTTAGCCTATAGCTACCAGAGTCAAACGTTCCTTGTACTTTTTAGGCTACTGTATGTTGGTTGATTTATTTTATCAACTATTTATGAAGAAATGTGAACGGAAATTTTGACTGAAATTAAACAAAACATTATGAAAAGCGACTGTCAGACTTCGCCGTTGATTATTATCAGCATGTTGTTCTGCACCCTGCATGTTAACGCATATAACCGACACTGCTTGCCATGCTATTTAGTAGGAGTCACTTGAACTTGACACTGATTAAGGCGCCATCTTAGTATCTTGGCCTTGTGTGTGTGTGTGTGTGTGTGTGTGTGTGTGTGTGTGTTCAATGGAAATCCTAGGGGGGGGAAGTTGAAGGACCACTTCTTGGCAGTGTGTAGGGACTTTAGAAAGGCCGGTAAGGCATCTGTTTATGACTATGAAAGCTGCAAATGTAAAGTTTATTTTCTTCTTCTTCAATGACTGCTTACAGTGATTGAAGAAAATATATAATAATCCTGTCATGCAGAGTGGAAGACGGGCAACTGAGGACACTGTGTGACCGTGAAAGTGGAGCAGGAATCGTTGCCAAAAGTGGCAGTGCCTCAGCGTCTCCCACTACCCGAACAAGGCACAGCTACATAAAAAACAACCAAAGGAGTTAACACACATCAATAGGCGCCATAATAAGCATTTAAACGGCGAAAAAAATCTGTCTGAATTACAACAAGTGCACATGCACACATCGGGAAAGCCCCGTGTAATAAATAGGAATTTATTCAGTGCTTTAAAATAAAAGAAACAACAACAAATGCACATTTCCTATTGCTCTGTCTGGGAGACTGGTGTAATCTGACGACTTTACTTCCCGGTAAGTCTGACACAGAGGGTTACTTTAAACCCCCACCACACAGTATTCTTCAGCTATAAACAGTTATTGAGAAAAACTGATTCTAATTCTGTTTTGTTCTACTTTTGCGCAAGCGCACCCTTCGCATTTGGTTTGATTTCATTTCTTTTCACCCCTTCCCTCCTTGCCTCCCCCTCCTACCCTTTTCCTCCCTCCCTTCCCAGCTAGTCTAGTCGCACATTTCAAGTTGCTCCTCTCACACACCGTGACGTCAAATAACCGAGACCCGGCTTTCTCCGAAGCACGGCGGCTCGCACGAAGGTTGCATTTTTACGCGCGGATTTGAGATGTCCTAAGCACAGACGTGGCTGCGCTCTGACCCGCAGCAGGTGACCGTGATAAGAGTAAAGAAAGCATACTACGAGGAAATAAACACAACTCTAATATACCTACATTTAAGAGTTAATCACACCTCAGTTTACGTGTCATTAAAAAGCACATTCATGTGAATTTGGGTCATTAATGTAGGGGTGCGTTTAACTCTGCAATTAAAATGCAGCTTGCCAATAAGGTGCATTCAAGCTGTTTCCTAAAACAAGCCATCATTTCCACACTATATGAGAACTCGGTACCGATGATTCAACCCAGACGGAGGAAAAAACATGAAAGGCTCTTTTCTAGTGGGTTCTCAATGGATTAGAAAGCAGTGATGGTCACGTGGATGCAGTTGTGTAAAGACTAGCGGCTGTATAACAACAATGTCCCACTGTAGCAGACAACAACTGGCTCTCAATTAGCCTGCTCATTCATCTTGGGTTATCTTATGGATTGCCGTACTGGGCTCCAGTGTGTGCACTCGGAGGATGGCAGCTGACTGTTGGCAGCGTGCAGCAGCCTATAATCTCTCCGCTTATATAGTCTTCTTGTGGTGGTGGGGGAGGAAGGGATCGGAGGCGGAGGGGAGCGGGGGGGCTGGGTGCGGAGAGAGGGGGGGGGGTGCATTTTGCAGGGTAAAAAATGGACTGAGACGTACGTCTCGCTTGCGCACGCCGCTGAAGTTTTATATCGGATTGATTGGTCAACCCCAACCCCTTTACCTTCCTCGGTTTTCTCAGTAGCAGAGTATTCGCTGGCTAAGCGGGAGAGCTCGCTCTAAGAGGATAAACTGACATAAGCAGGTCCCAAACGCCTTTTGTCACGCAACGGAGGCTGTGATCTTTAAAAGAAAAAAAAAGAAAAATAACAGCAGCTAATTCATCGCTAACTGAAAATTAAGTCATTATTGGACACAAAGTGCAAAGATAAATTTCGATCAATTCACAAGTAACTCGGTTAGTAGGTTAAAAGATAGAGCTGGAGATGCAAGGCTATTATTAGCTTTTATTCGACACTTTAAGCAAGGGGTTATCTGACACAAGGCTGTTTAATAACTTCGGGTGCATTCTATTTTGCTCAAAGGCACAGCAGCACGGCAGTTGGGATACTCTGTATCGGAGACAGCGCCTGCACATCTGCACATGGCCGCTTTGCTGATACTCCTTAATTAATGGGATGCTGCGAAAACTGAAGCATCATGGAATAACTGCACCGAGCATGGGAGTGTGTACTGTTTCTCTGTGTGAGGATATGAATGTGAGTGAAATAAGAGGGTTTCCATCTCCGCATACAGAAACGAAAAATCTGACACTGTTGATATTTATATATTTTTTAATGAAGGCATTAAAACTACACGGTTAACCAGAATAGTGCCTCTAAACTCAGCGTGACAATTAGAGATTGAAATGAAACGGATTTGTAACAGCACGCGGCTGCATATAGCTTCATAAACAATCAGTTGCATACATCTGATAATTAAAAGCCTCCTTTTGTGCTGAAGTTAATCGAAGGTTGTTTCACCTTCGGCAGGGTGCTGAATATGCATCCGCAAGGTGCCTTAGTCCACGTGTTTCTTTATATGTTAAGGTGTTTTGTGGCTTTTGTGATGGAAACTGTTGAACACAATGGCATTGTGTTTGCCTTCAATTATCCTTCAACTCACTCACACTAGGCTAGGTTGGACGCTCACCTAATGCACATTTCGTGACGATTTATTTGCCCCCAACACTGTGTCGCACGAGGTGATGAGTGGAAGTTGTTGGCCTGTCATTTCCACAAAAGAACAA